TATTAGCTGCTAAATATTACACAGCTAAATATTACACAGCTAAATATTACACAGCTAAATATTAGCTGTAAGACTAAAATCCTCGGCGCTGCTTCTTATTTCTGAGACTAAAGACCACACATTAGGAATTAGTTTAACTCATATGTTTACTGTCAAATCGTTTGATTCACAATTTAACATAAGACTTCTGGTTATAAAGTTTTAGCTTGTTGTGATAAATGTTTACATGTGAGTATGATGAAGCCAGGGACACCACCAAGGGTGGGAGCAAAAAGGCAACAGCTCTCAAAAGATTTGTTGCCCTCCAGGCCAGACAGTCTAACATTTATTATTAAGTGTGATTATATTATTATCAGTTTGTTAGCCAAATATCTCATTATCCATTATCCATCCATCCATCCATTTTCTTTACCCGTTTGGGTCACGGGGGTCGCTGGTGCCCATGTCCAGCAATCACTGTGCGAGGGGCGGGGTACACCCTGGACGGGTCGCAAGTCCATCACAGGGCCACATAGAGACAAACAACCATTCACTCTCTCACTCACACCTAGGGACAATTTAAAGTTACCAATCAGTCTAACATGCATGTTTTTGGTCTGTGGGAGGAAACTGGAGTACCCAGAGAAAACCCACGCAGCACAGAGAGAACATGCAAACTCCACCCAGAAGGCCCCTGGACCAGGGTTTGAACCAGGGACCTGCTCACTGAGAGGCAGCAGCTCTACCAGTTGCGCCACCGTGCTGCCCCTCATTATCCATTAGAGGGGTTTTAATGAAGCTGATTAAATAAATATTGAATTTGCAATGAATTAACTCCTGGAGTTAATCTGGAGTAGGTCAACATCAGAAGGTGAGTTCCTCGTTCTAAGAATATGAAATATTTTGTTTTAACCTTCGATATGAGAAATTCCTGAAGTTCTTTTGTGATGTTTAGTTTTATTGTGCCACCCCAAAAGGACCAGGGCCCCTGCCAGGCCACCCTTAGGAACCTTCCTGGATTATATTTAGGCTGAGATGAGTGTTTGTTCTGTTTGCGTGAGGCTCACCCTGAACATCAAATACTTCATGAACTTTCTGTTTGCAGCCTGAAGCTGGGGGCAACGAGCCCCAAGACAGGAGGAATACACTGCACATCCAGAAAACTTGTTTTATCACATAATAAAGAAACATTCACTGAGCTGCTTCATGTTTAGTGCAGAGTCAGGACAACACGTCACATAAACACCAAGGTTTCACTCATGTAGGCTGGTTTTAAACAACACGAGTGTACCTCCTGCTGGCTGAAAGTGAGGAACAGGCTACAGGCCGAAGTTCTCACAAATAAAATCTGAGCTTTTCATGAACCAGGAGTGACATGACGTCCCTGACTTGATGCTGAAGGTTCTGTGTTGGCAGAAGAAACAGAACCAAAGTGGGATGTTAGCTTCCACCACCACAGCTGCTCTGAGATGTCTGATACGACCACAGAGAACATGTTAGATTATTTGTTCTGTTTGGGTCTGTGAAGCTGCAAACGGGTCACACTGACCCGGGTCCACCAACCAAAACTCCTACAGCTGCTGCTGGCCGAACACCACAGCCGACTTTAGAGATCGGGCGACACGTCTCAACAGCTCACGAACGTACTTGTTATCAGAAAGGCTGCTGGTCATAATGTTGTGGCTGACTGATGCACTTGTGCCGTGAACTCTTGTTGTTTTCTTTCCAGCAGAATCGGGCCTCAAGCAGAGACCTCAGACAAGTTTTTAATTAAACTATAATAATACAACTATAAGTTGAGTTTTATATCATAAAACACTTTGTAACCTTTGAAAAGTAAAAAAGTGTTTAAATGCAGATTGTTTGCCACTTTTATTTTGTTTTTCCTTTAATTTTACTCTAAACGAGAACAAAGTTTAATCAAATTAACATCATACCATAATAGAAAAGACAAAGTGTTTCATTAGATCAAAACAATTGATATAAACATATTTTCTTTTTATAAACAGTATGCTGTTCATCGTTTTCCATATACAGTAGTTTCAAGTGTACATGGTTATTCTTCCAAAATGGTCTGATATTTAACATAAATTATTTTAAATTAGGGTCTTGAATTTCAAAATACAAAACATGTAGGATCCTTAATATATGGTCCTGAGTATGAATTTATTGTGATGTCAATAAGAACAGTTATTTGTTCACGTTTTAATAAATAAAGCAAAGAATAAAAACCTGATTTATTTACATGTTGGTTAGTTGTATAATATTTATATTTCTTTGTATAATAGTTTGATTGTTTTTTGTCCCACAGATGTGAAAACTTGATTTTTAAAATCAGAAAATCCTCGACGTGCTCCTGAGTACTGCGCATGCCCAGTCAGGAGCAGGTGGGGGCGGGGGGAAGGTCTGCTCCATCCGGGAACTTCAGAATTACCATTGACAGCCGAAGCGCAACTTTTCCCCAGGCAAAGTGAAATCAAGCCGCGCACTCGGACAAAATGTAGTTCCCGTTTTTTAACTTAAAATTACCGAAAGAAAAGCAAAACCGGGTGGTACTCGAACCCGTCCACGTTCGGTTGGATTCTTCGGAGCAACATAGCGGGATTCGGATTCCTTTTCGTCGGGTTTGGAGCACTTTTGAAGACGGGCGGAAAGTGTGTGATGAGTCCTAGCCTGTAAAAAGAAGCGAGAACTTGCTCTGCAGCCCGAGTAGTTCTTCTTTCAATTGTTATTGTCGCTTTAAACATTTCTTTATTTCACTCAAACTTGGTGTCGGCCGCGTCGAAAGTGGGAGAAAAGTGCTTTCCTGGGCGGAACATGGAACTGCAAGGCCTGCAAGAGGCGCTGAAAGTAGAGATCCAATGTCATCAGGTAAGAAACATCGTGTTGTTGGTGTGTGAGAGTGAGCCGAGCAGCGGCGAACACTCCGGGGGAACTGTGCGACGTGTCGCCGCTGATGGCTGCCGCCTCACGCACTCCACCTCCCAGCCACCGAAGGCACTTTCAGCAGTAGTTTGGCTGATTATCGAGGCTCTTTTCCCCGGGAATGTGGAGTGTTGATGCGGCGGTGGTGTGTGGCGATCCGGACGCGACCTGAATATTTATGAGCTCAAACTGAGGCCGCTTTTGTTCCTCCCTTTAAAAACTTGACTCACTTTCTCCTCCTCTCCTCCGTGGCTCCTCAAGTCAGCGGGGAGGAGGACCCACAGGTTCGGAGGCGCCCGCCCCGGTGAGCCCGGCGGCTCGGGGCCGGGCCGGGCGGCTTGTTTGTGGGGAGTGAGGTGTAAACTTTATGGTCTGTTAACATCCGCAGCTAGCGTTAGCATGGCTGCTCACTTTGTTTCGCCACTTTCTCTGGCGCCAACTTCCACCAAGCGCCGCGCCGAAGGAGAAGAACGAAACGCTGTTCCTGTGTAGGCGGCAGCAGCTGCTCCGGTCTGGGGCTTGCTCTTCAGCCTGTTCGGGCCCACGTCGAGCTCCGGGCTCGCCTGTGAAAGTTCTGTGGTGTTGGGAGGTTTTAGCGTCCATTTTGAGTGGCTCGGTTTGTTTGTGGAGAGAAAAGACGTTTGTGCTCGGACTTTTTGCTTTTATTCGCGCGGTCTCCGGGGCTGCTGTGGCCCCTTCAGGCCACCGTTCCTTTGTAACCTCCTTTGTGACGAGGGTTCACCAGCTGGGTTTTGTTACTTTATACTTTTAGTCTGCTGGCATTATTTCTCCTCGGTCACGTGACCCCGGCGGCGCGCTCTGATTGGCTCCTTTCACTTTCTGTCCTTTTTCCTCCTCCATGGCGTCCAGACGCCGTGAAGTTGGGCGGCTCGGTGCGGACGGTGCAGCCGCGGGGAGGTGCCGGCAGGGCGGGCGCTGGGGGTGAGGCTGCCCGGCGGTGGCGGTGTTCAGCACCGCGGCCAGCTCCTCCGGCTGCCCCGGGCTGCTGCACCGCCCCTCCGGTCGGTCCCAGACAACTTCCACACATCCACACCTCAACGTTTCTCCTCAAAACTCTCCTCTTTCGGTTGCAGTAAACGCATTTCTTAAATCTTTATTAAACTTGCAGGCGGATGCAATCATGGAAGCATCTTAAACCAGAGTCCTGTTTGTATTCTCTGCTCTCAGTTTGGTAGTGGAAGCTTCCATTTTGAGAGAGAAAAGGGGGAGAGGGGGTGGTTTCTCCCCCCTTTTCTACAACATGGAGAGGAGAAAAGTCTGCAGAGTTTAATGCAGGAGGAGGAGGGGGATGGGCCCCATTCATGCCTAACATTACCATTTTGATTGCTTTGATGCTGGTTTTGGTTTGGATGGATGCAGGGGGAGGGGAGGCAGAGAGCCCAGTCAGCACCGGCTGCACACTTTGCTCGTGCACATTCATCAGATGCTGCTTTTCTTCAGAACCATCTGAGATGATCCCAGCAGACACGTCCCCGCTCAGCACTTTCTGCAGGTTTTCTTCAGTTGTTTGAAGAAACGAGCCCCGTCATGATGCTTTGTGCAGCGTTGCAGCTTCAGGTCATTCGTTGCAACAAATTCTTGTGTTTTTATATTTTAATAACTGATCTGCAGCTTTTAGCTTCAACATAAAATTCAGCTGAAGCCCAAAGGCCTCGATTCAGAAACGAGCTGCAAAGTTTGACTCTTAAAGTAAACTTTGGTTGGTATGATGTCATCATCATCATCATCATCATCATCATCATCATCATCATCATCATC